CCATCGTGCAAAGCGTGTAAGCAATGTCTCGACGAAACTTGCGTTATCAACTGTACAGTTCCGCAAAAACTTGTTTTCAACTAACTCATCGGTGAAATTCCTCGAGTTCATTGTGGATGAGGGCCTTGGCTGGGAACGACAGATTATATCAATGATTGGCTAAGGGCGACGGTCGGCTTCGGTATTGTGCAGATTGTGAAGAGGTTAGTGAAACACGTTTAAAATCTTGCATCTACCATTCTTCCTCTAAGCTGCACCGGCCTACTTCCGCAGTGTCCGGAGAAAACAACTGGCTTGCCTTTTGAAACTATTTGGCACCGATTCTGTTGGGTGCATAATAACCAGATGCTTAGTAAGGAGAACAGTCATTTTGGGCAGTTCAGTTTTAACGGACTCAACGCACCAGCTTAACAATGTTTCCAACAGCGAGTGCCTCTCAAAGCGGCCGAGCACAAGATTCACGCACGCTTCTGACAGGTGCTGGACTGAGGATTATCGAAGATCAGTCGTTCCGTTTGCTGTCCACTGTCTGATCGATCCCAAGAAAAAAGACCTGTCATTTTGGACTAGATTCTGGTCAGCCTGACATGGATCTACTTTCACTGGTACTTTTATTGCTTACTACCCGTTCATTGTTATACAAGGTTCTGGCAACTTATACTGTGCCTGAAGGAATAAATTAAGTAAATTTCAATGACTAACTGTAAGAATTGTGTGGATATTTTTTTCGGGAAGGCTTTAAAAAACTGAAATATGAATTAGCGACGTTAGAAAACGATCTTAAATCACTTTTTAGTACAATTTAACTTTGTTGCTTATACCCGAAAAAACCACCACACCGATATATCATCATAATCGATTATGATCAAAGCAACAGTCTGGAAATGTTAAAGATACAGTCACTATATACTTCTACTAATAAAAACGGCAGCGCCAAGTCATTTGGCAAATCCGAGGCATATTAACTGCTTCATGTAAACTAAACATCTACTGCTGTGTGTCTCTTACTGCTTCTGTTCTCTGGTAAATGTTATTTTGGGTGCGGTTTCAAGTTGTAACTTATCTCTGTTTATCTTAAGGATAAACAACCAACCCTCGTTGGTAGAGCAACATTGTAGCATCAGACAATTAATACATATACGGAGACAGATTTTTCACTGAAAAAAAACTAAGCTGACGTTTGGTGTGACAAATTACATCTGTTACTAAACTCTGATTCATATGACCAAGGAATCCATTTAACTGCGTTCCAATACTAGCAGCAGTGAGGCTTGTTTTTCTCAAGTGGTCATCTGATATTACAAAATGCCGGCACAAAGTTGGTGAATAACATAATTAATATAAAATGGGTACTTTGTCAAATTTAGATCTCATCAAGAGCCTACCCAGGCTCCAGTTACAAACTTACTGTCAACCTTATTTTAAAAGTAATCATGACAGATTTTGATTTAAGGCCGAACTATGTAGTTCATGGCCAGTTTGACTACAAACTTCACTGACGATATAGGGTTATCGTCCACCTTTATTTACTGGAGCACACCTGTTTCTTTAAGGGGATATCTGATATATATGAGAAAGAAATTTCAATTAAGCCATTTGGTAGTGGACAGCGAAAAACTGCTGGTTCGGCAACATAAAATAGAAAAAAATCGTGTACCTCAAGCTTCGGCAGCAGTGGAGGCAGCAGTAGTTCTTTGGTGATTTTTTCTAGAATAAGTTGAGCATTGAGAGCTGCTGGAAAGGAGGATATCTGCTGCCTCGAAGACTCGACTCCATATGCGGAAGAAATATTCGGATGGTCATCAACGTGTGAAGTTCTTGTAGTTGAGCGAGAAAGTGGTCGTAATCCTGGATTCATTATGAAAGACCGTCCTGCAGAGGCTTGAACGTTCGTCGTCGTCTCAGCTGTTCTGGAATCGTGCGATAGCTCAGCCTTTTTCCTGGATTTGGTAACCCGACATCGAGCCTTTGGGAGCACCGTCACTTCCGTGCTGCGAATTTTACTGCAACTGGCAGTGCTAATGTGAGGTTCTTGTATCTTCGGTGACGTTTCCAAAGGAGATAATCGGTTGGTCCGCCCAAAAGTATTATTCGACATGAAAGGCGATGGCATTTGTGGTGACACGGCAGAATCATACGATATCAGACGATTTTGATCATCAAGAGGAAGGATCTGCGAAACTTGTCCAGAAGAGCTAGAGGGCAAAAACGACAGGTCAAATAAGAAACTTGTCAATGAGGCACCAGTATCGAATTCGTCACAAGTTCGCAGCATCTTCTCCATGGCCTCGCGATGTTCTGCACTTAAAATGCCGTGCCTCTCTAGCAACTGTGCTAAAACAATAACATAAAACATTCAATAACACGCAAATGAATATAGATTCTACTGATGCTGCATATACTGAACCTCCCTTCATGAATCTTGTTGCTGCTTAAGTCAAAAACCAATGTTGAGGTTCAATTTACTGTCATATGATCCTTTCTATTGTACACGTATCAGCTTTATAATTACCTGCTGCGCTGCAACTTTTACAACAGTAAGCCACTGTCATCCCTTCGGCTTCCTTAAGCGCTGAATCTTATTCAGTTCTATAGGTCATACTTCATAACCGATTTCCAATGCGCGACTGCAACATTTTATTCTGAAGTACTTAAGGGACGGAGCATATACGCAGACCGCACTATTTTAACACTTGCTGTATAAAATTTGCCGCATCATCGTATTGGCTAGAGCCATGTACCTTTACGCTGCTTAACCGTAATATACGCCAGTTAATTGGCAGTGACATTATTTCTTGCACATTCTTGTTTGAACGAGAAAAGAGAATTTACTGACGTATCGGTGATATACGAAAACAATTATGACTTATTATTTATCAGTAATTATAAATTAAAGATGTTATCATCTTCAT